ATTCCCTGGAGCTGGAGTTCCAGGAGGTTATAATGTGCTCCATATGGTTGCTGGGAACCTAACTGGCCCTGTGGAGGAGCACTGCTCACTCTGAACTGTAGAGACATGTTTTCGTCCATGACCCAGGATTTTACATGTTAGGCAAACACTTTCACTGAGCTACATCACCAGCCCAAGGAGACAGAATTGGGTTTCCCTCAGCAGAGAAGCTTCAAGGAAAGGTGAAGTCATCTAGGAATTGAAACTTAGAAGAAAGTTATGGATTAGCTTTTGAGAACACCCATATCTCCCCTGCAGGCAGGGGAGAAAGAGATCTTCACACAAGGTGGTGGAGACCCAAGAAGTCTGAAGTCTGTGTGTATTTGTAAACTTGGTTTTCTTTAGATGGAGAGTGACTGTATACCAGGTTGGCCATGAACTCACAGTCCTGCTTGCTCAGGTGTTGCAGCTGCAGGTGTGCTCCTTCCCACAGAGAAATAACACTTGCTTTTTGTTTGTTTGTTTGTTTTTTGTTTTTCGAGACAGGGTTTCTCTGTGGCTTTGGCGGCTGTCCTAGAACCAGCTCTTGTAGACTAGGCTGGTCTCGAACTCACAGAGATCCTCCTGCCTCTGCCTCCCGAGTGCTGGGATTAAAGGCGTGCACCACCACCGCCCAGCAACACTTGCTTTTTATAATGTCTTTTATTTATATTTGTGTGTGTATATGATGTAAATGAATGTGGGCCCGTGTTCGCCACAGTGGGTATGTAGAGGCCAGAGGACAACTTTGGCAGGTCTCTCCTTCACCTTATAAGTTTCAGGGATTGTGTTCAGGTCACAGGCTTGAAAAGCAAACAGTTTATCTGCTGAGCCATCTTAATGACCCATCCTTACAGTACTTTTTCCTGTACTTACTCCACTTTGTGTACATTGTGATAACTAGGAAGAAGAATCCAAACATAGTTAAAATTGAATATTTCCTACTTTTTTTTGGCATCAAATAGCAATTGCAATTTATTTCTGCTAACTCCCACATACATAGGCAAATGCTTTCAGAAATAGCCAGTAGCTAGAGGCAAAAAGGAAGATTCTAACTCTAAAAGGGATAAATTAATCTCAACACTTTTTTTTTTTTTTTTCTTCGAGACAGGGTTTCCCTGTGTAGCTTTGGAGCCTATCCTGGCACTTACTTTGGAGACCAGGCTGGCCTGGAACTCACAGAGATATGCCTGCCTCTGCCTCCCGAGTGCTGGGATTAAAGGTGTGCGCCACCAACGCCCGGCTAATCTCAACACTTTTTAAAAAATATTTTTATTTTTAGTTGCTTATATTTTTATTTTATATATGTGTGTGCTGAGTGTATTTACATGTACCATCTGTGTGCAGGTGACCACAGAGGCCAGAAGACATAGTGTCATATCCCTTGGAACTGAGTTATATGTGGTTATGATGAAGCACATGGGTGCTGGGACCTGAACCCAGGCCCTCTGCAAGAGCAGCAAGCACTGTCAATGCTGGGCCATTGCTAGGATTACTACTATGAGCTCAATGATTTAGGCAATTTGTATTCATTTTTTTAAAAGTTAATGTATATGTGTGTGTCCCAGCATTCTTTTATGTCACCACAAGCATTCAGGTGCCCTCAGAGACCAGAGGGTTTCAGATACTCTGGAGCTAGAGTTAGTGATGGCTGTGAGCCACCTGATGTAGGTGCTGGAATCCAGGTTCTCTGCAAAAACATCAAGTTCTCATAACCAGAGCCATTTATCCAACCCTCAATTTAGGCAAGTTTTTGAGACAGGGTTTCACTATACAGCTCTGACTGGCCTGGAACCTGTTAGGTAGAGCTGGCTGATCTCAGAATTCTGCATTTCTGCCTCCTAAGTGTTGGTACTAAAGGTGTGTGCTAGCACACCCATCCAAAGCAAATATTCCCTAAACTTTATTTCTACATTTGCTTAAGTGTTTAATTTTTATGTGTATAGGTGTTTGTCTTGTACCACATATGTGCAGTGTCCATGGGAATCCAGAAGAGGGGGTTTTGTCTCCTGGAACTGGTGTTCTGGATGATAGTAAGCCACCTTGTGAGGAGTGGTAGGAACTGAATCCAGGGCCTCTGAAGAGGTAGCTAGTGCTCTTAAGCATTGAGCCATAGCTCCAGTCCCTGGCCCAAGAATTTCAGAACACACCCCACTCCCCCACTCCCCCACTCTTCCCCCATCCCCAAGTCAGGGTTTCTCTGTGTTTCAGTTCTGGCTGTCCTAGAACTCTCTTTGTAGACCAGGGTGGCCTTGAGCTCACAGAGATCCTCCTGCCTCTGCTTCTGGAAAACCTTTTTAATTTTTCATTTAAAATTTTTTATCTTAAACCAGGTATGAGTTCATGCCTGTAAACCCAACATTCAATAGACTTACATGGGAGAAGACCAACCCTAAATATGGGTGACAGCAGTCCATGGGCTGTGCCCTGGACTAGATGAAAAGGACAGAGAAGTGGAGCCTACGGTGTCCTTCTTTGCTTTTGACTAAGATGCAGTACCCCAGATTCCTCCTTCTGTTCCCGGTGCCCTCGACTTCCCCACTGTGATAGACTACAACCTTGAGCTATGAGCTGAAATAAGCTTTTTCTCTCTTAAATTGCTTCTCGTTGGAGTAGTTTACCACCACAACGGGTCGGGGGTGGGGGGCACTAAGACACATCACCCAGTGAAGTCTGCCCATCCACACAGCTGAATTCATCACAAACTTGTGCTGGAAGCTTATTAAAATAAATTTGTTGCAAGACAGAAAAAAAAAAAAAGAGGCTTACATAGGGTCTCTACTTTTAGGTCAGCATAGACTTTTAGGTAGGTAAGCTGCTTTCCATAGTTTCTAGTCTTTAAATTGGAGACAATTTCTTATATTTCTCTTCTGTTATTTAGGGTAGGAGAAGTATCAAGCATTATCATGCAGGGGGCTGGAAAAATGGCTCAGTAGTTAAGAGCACTAGCTGCTCTTCCAAAGGACCCAGGTTCCATTTCCAGCACCCACATGGCAACTCACAACTGTCTGTAACTCCAGTTCCAGGGGATCCAATGCCCTTATACAGACATACATGCAGGCAAAACACCAATGCATATAAAATAGACATAAATAATTTTAAGCCAGGCGTTGGTGGAGCATGCCTTCCTTTAATCCCAACACTCAGGAGGCAGAGGCAGGCGGATCTCTGTGAGTTGAGGCCAGCCTGGTCTACAGAGCAAGTGCCAGGATAGGTTCCAAAGCTACACAGAGAAACTCTGTCTCGAACAAACAAACAAAAATTTTAAAAAGGATTAGCGTGTAGCCAGGTAGTGGTGGTTTTCTAAGTTTGAAGCCAGCCTGGTTTACAGAATGAGTTCCAGGATAGCTAGTACTACACAGAGAAACATTGTCAAAAAAGAAAAAAAATAACTGGGCGTTGGTGGCGCACACCTTCCTTTAATCCCAGCACTCGGGAGGCAGAGGCAAGAGGATCTCTGTGAGTTTGAGACCAGCCTGGTTTACAAGAGCTAGTTCCAGGACAGCCTCCAAAGCCACAGAGAAACCCTGTTTTGAAACATGTGTGTCCCCCCTCCCCCCCAAAAAAAGAAAAACAGCTAGGTGTCATCCCTGCATAGGGCAGGCAAAGGTGAGGATTCTTGGGTTTACTGGCTATCCAGTCTAGCTTAATTGTTGAACTCTAGGCCAATGAGAGGCTGTCTCAAAGGAGGTGGATAGTATTCCTGAGAATGACACCGAATATTGTCCTGTGCCCTCCATGTGCACCTGTGCACACACAAATATGTAAAACAAAAACAAAACCTTCCGGAGGAACTGCTACATGTCAAGTGCCTACTCTGGGATATATCAGTGAACAAGGTATCTAAGACTCATGCCTTGAAATCAGATGGAGAAGCTGATCTATTTATTTTCTAGTTGATGTCAGATCTGGTTTTGGATACAACTGGTTTTATCCTCACCTGGGTTTGCTCAATTTTTTTTTCAGAGCTAAAAAATTGCTTTAAAAGTTTTGTTTATTTATTTTGAGATACAGTCTCTATGTGGAGCCTTGTCTGGCATGTAACTCACTTGAGATCAGGCTGGTCTCAAACTCACAGAAATCTGCCTGCCTCAGCCTCATGAACAGTGTAATTAAAGGCATGTGCCACCAGACCTGGCTGTTTAGTAGTATGTGTATTTATATTTTTCTATGCAGATGAGTGTAGCTTCCTAAAGATGCTGGAGGCCCCAGATCCCCCTGGAGCTTGAGGTACTGATAGTTTTGAACTGTTCAGCATGGGTGCAGACTCATGTGGGAAGCAAACTCATGTCATCTACAAGAACAGTATATATACACTTTTAACCACTTAGCCATTTTGCTAACCTCCCTTTTCCCCATATTCTTGAGATAGGAGCTCAATCTTAGCCCAGGATTGAACTCACTCTGTAGTTGAGGTTGTTTTTGCATTTGTGTCAATCCTCCTGTCTTAGTCTCCTATTATTCAAGTATGAGTCCCAACACTTAATTTTGGTGGTGTTGGGGCTTAAACTCAGGCTTTGTATACCCTTAGTAAGTGCTCTACCACTAAGATACATTTCGTGCTTCACATTTAAACAGAATATTCACAAGGCAGTATTTTAATTAAGGTCAATGACATGCCTATTGAAGATAAGATATAGATAAGATATGTATTTTTCCACCAATTCAGTAGACATTTTGGTATCCAAGAATGCTGGCATTTGAAGTTGAATCTGATTTCCTTTTTTTTTTTTTTTTTTTTTTTTTTTTTTTTTTTTTTTTTTTTTGTTTTGAGAAAGGGTTTCTCTGTAACAGCTCTGGCTGTTCTGAAACTTACTCTGTAAACTGGTTCCATTTGCCTGCTTCTGCCTCCCAAGTGCTGGGATTAAAGGCGTGAACTACCATTGCCTGACTGTTTTCCATATTTTAACTCATGTGAACTGAAACATTTCTTTTATCCCGCCAGGTTTTAAACTTGTATCCCTTGCTTTGATTTGTGTCAGGGTAAACCTTTGATGTAAAAGACTTGACTCCATAATCTCCATCTGCCCTAATGCTGTCATCTGGAGTAGAGACTCAGCCAGCTCCACTTGACTCCCTCATGCCTGCTGTGGTACATGAATTATACTCTGAACTCTCAGTAAGTGTCTCCAAAGAGCTTCATGCTGAGAAGGAGCCAAGTATGATTCCAGATGTAAAACCTGGAGCCTCAAGCTCTCCTAGAAGTCAGAGTAGGGCATCACCCCTGGAGCTGCAGAGGACTCATGCAGAAGGCTGTTGTGAAGAAACCTTTGAAACCTTGGATTATGGAAGCAAGCCTGGGTGGTGCGGACTAGTGAACCCTACAGCAAGAGGACCTGTGGCTTTTGAGATATTGGATAGGGAAGAAAGAACCAAGAGCATGGAGCCAAAGGTCTTCAGAGATCAAGGAGACCAGGCCGAAGTTGTCATTGGCCCCTGTGAGGCAGCAAAGGAGGACCCATGTGAACATTCCACAGCTTCTAAAGAAAAGATCTACCCCAGTCAGGTAAGAAATGAGGCTTGATGGAGGTAAGTTGAATGTGAGTGATGATGCTGCAGAGCAACGCTTCTCATGAGAAACTATAGATGCTGACAGATGGCCTGTGGTTTAATCTTGAAACATTTTTAAAAAATATTGATTTTGATATTTTTTTATGTAAGTCACTGCTGTGCTTTTACTATTGTATGAATTATTGAGTCTCTAAAGATAATGTTTTTTAAATTTATTTTTATTTTATGTGCATTGGTGTTTTGCCTGCATGTGTGTCTGTGTGAGGATGTCAGCTCTTGGAGTTACAGTTGTTAGCTGCCATGTGGGTGCTGGAAATTGAACACAGTTCCTCTGGAAGAGCAGTCAGTGCTCTTAACTGCTGAGCCGTCTCTCTAGCCCCTCAAAATAATGTATTTCTACATATGATGTTAGATAATTATGTGTAAGGGCTGGGGACATGGCTTAATTGGTGAAGCATCTGCCATGAAAAGTTCAGATCCCCAACACCCACATAAAAAAGCCAGGCATAGCAGCACCTCAGTAGCAGATAGGGCAGATCCTTGGAGTTTGTTGGCTAGCCAGCTGAGCCAAATCTATGAGCTCCAGGCTCAGTGGGAGACCCTGTTCAAAAAGGAAGGTTGCACTGGTTAGTGGTGGCGGCACACAACTTTAATCCCAGTACTTGGGATTGTTATTGCATGCATATATGTATATGTACATTTATGTTCCTAAATATACCTGCTAAGTCTATATGATGTTCTTTGTATGTGTGTTTTCAGGGCTGACTATTTGACGATGGACAACCAGTTGGTGTCCTCTTCCCTGATGACTATCATCTTTCCTGTTCCCAGCTTCCCTCAGTTACCTCGTTTTTGTGTAGTAGATAAGGAAAAGTCTATAAGGCCTAAACCCCATACACAAAAAATTCTTAATATTTATTTTTAAATTTATGTGTCTGAATATTTTGCCTACATGTATGTATGTACACTATGTGTGTGCCTGGTACCTGTGGAGGGCAGAAGAGGGCTTCAGATCTTGGAAATGGAGTTACTGATAGTTGTGAGCCATCGTTTGAGTGCTGGGAGCCAAACCCAGGTTCTCTGCTGAACTATCTGTCCAGTACCATGATTTTTCTTTTTCTTTTCTTTTAATTGTTGCTTTATTTACTTATTTATTTGGGGTTTTTGGAGACATTGTTTCCCTGTGTAGCCCTGGCTGTCCTGTGTGTAGACCAACCTGACCTCAAACTCAGAGATCTGCCTGCCTCTACCTTCAGAGTGCTGGGATTAAAGACATGTGCCACTACCGCCCAGCATAGAAAGGGATTTCGTATTGAAAATAAATAGAATTTCAGTGACTTAGAAGTGAGAACTCTTGGCAGCTGAAGAGACATCTCCATCAGTAAATGCTTGCTTGCTATGCAAGCACAAGGACCCGAGTTTGATCCATAGCACCCATGTCAGAGTGATGGCACACTTGTAATCTGGAGAGTCTCTGGGACTGGCACTGACCAGTCTAACCTATCCTTCACACTGAGAGACCCTTTCTCAAAAACAAGCTGAGAGTTGGTTGAGAAGACTCTGAAGGTAAAGGTATTTAAAAGTATAAGCCAGAAGACCTGAGTTTGATATCCAGAACCCATGGAAAGATAGGAGAGAACCAATTCCACAAAATTGTTCTCTGACTTCCACATGTGCACAGAGACACATGTTCTCCCCACCATTACACACATAATAATAATAATAGAGGAAAGAAAAAAAATGGGGGTGGATGGCCCATGAGGAACACCACCAAAGGTCAACATCTGGCCTTCACCTATACGCATGCATATCCACAGGTGTGCTTAAACACAATGGAAAAAAATGTTTTTTATAAAGGTCTCAAGGCAGAATTGATGTTGATAGGCTGTTCTTGGGTCTACAGGGCACTGTTGTCCCCTAGTTTGATGTGGTTCTGATCTCATGCAACAGAGAAGCATCTAAAGCATGTTGCTGAGGTGTAAAAGTTTTCTGTGACTTCACAATCAGTGCTTTACTTAAAGCTGCAGTTTTTCTGATTGAGATTCAGAGGAACATTCTGTAAAAGTTCCTCTCTACATATAAAGGTGTAAGAAACTGGAAGATTGATCTGGTGATAAAGCTTTTCATTCATTAGAGTGGTGGCAGTTGAATCCTGGGCTTTGTGCCTGCTGGTTAGGCACTGTACCAACCAAGCTGAATTTCAGCACTGTCTGTCTTTTTCAGAAGTCTCAACTCAGTAGCCCAGAGGCTGGCCTCTTACATCTATTTGTCTTCCATCTCAGCCTCTAAGTGCTGGGATTAAAAATGTGGGCCACCAGAGCCACTTCCAGGAGTCAGTCTGCCTGTCTGCCCACCTGTCTCCCCTCCTCTCCTCTCCTCCTCTCCCCTCCCCTCCTTCTCCTATCCTTCCTTGTTTTTTCAGGGCAGGGTTTCTCCTTGTAGACCAGGCTGGCCTCTAATTCACAGAGATTCACCTGCCTCTGCATCCTGAGTGCTAGGTTTAAAGGTGTGTGTCACAACAAGTATGCTTTCTTAACCTTGGATCTGGGTTTGATTCTTAGCACGCATGTGGTCACAACCATCTATACCTGCATTCCAGGGAACCTGACACCTTCTTCTGACCTCTGCAGGTACCAGGAACACTTGTGTTGTAACTTTGTACAGGCAAAACATTCATACACATAAAATAAATTAAACACACAAACGGAAACTGGGGGCTGAAGAAATGGCTCAGTGATTAAGAATACTGACTGTTCTTCCAGAGGTCCCTAGTTCAATTTTCAGCACCCACATGGCAGCTTGTAACTGGTTATAACTTCAATCTTTGGAGATGATGACTGCTTCTGGCACCCAAGGGCACTCACTGCATGAGGGCAAACAGGCAAAGCACCCATGTGTAAGAAACAGTATGTTTTTTTAAATTAAAAAAAAAAAAAAACTTCAAAAAGTTTTTTTTTAAGTAATTTGTGATTTACATAAAAATAAAAAGGTAGAACAAAAGTTTGAAACTAAAATCAAGCCTCAATTTATTAGAACTTTTTATTAGAACTTTTTTTTTTTTTGGTTTCTTTGGCAATGTTTGATTATTTCATCTTATTGGGCTGGAACTTGCTATATAGACTGGACTGGCTTTGAACTTATAGAGGTTTATCTGTCTCTGCAGAGCTGGCATTAAAAGTCACAATTCAGCAATTAACTCCCAGTTTTCAGATTAGTTTGCAAGTGTTGTAAGAGTTTTCCAGCAGCTACAGTTCCTGAGATCTAGCTGGCTCCTCCTCTTCCTGACCTTGTTCTCTCCAACCCCTCATTAAACTTTGCATAGCTGTTGTATGAGCTGCATGCCTGAGCAAGGGAGCACAGGGAAACCTTGGAAGGAAGAAAGGGGCACTCACTGGCTTCACCTCTGCCACCCATGGCTTGTCCTGTACCTGCTTAAATTGGCACAGCTCTAAGTGCGCCTGTACCCCCAGCTTATTTCTTGTTTTCAGAAGGCACTGAGGAGCTGGGCAGTCCCACCATTCAAGAAGCCGAGGCAGGAGGATTGTAGCAGTCTGAGTCCCACCTGATTTACATGGTGACCCCTACCTCCAAAATTAAAAAAAAAAAAAAAAAAAAAAAATTAGAGCTGTGTTTGCATTTGCTTCAAACTCATATTCCAGAGAAGTAATATTTTTTATTTGCTAACTTAAACTTGAGCTTTCCTTCATATCTCAATTTTTGTGGCTAGTAGCAGATTTCCTGAAGTTGCACTGAGGTCTGAAGTAATAACTGATGTTTGTGAGCTCAGGTACTTCTGCATCATCTATTGACTGTTGGGTTTTCTTGTTACAGGATGTCCTCCTGATACAATCCAGCAAAAAGCCTGTATTCGCAGACCTCTCTGGAGATCTGCTAAAGAACAAAGGTATGATACTTCTTTTTGTTGTGTTTTGTTTTGTTTTCTTAGGTAAGGTCTCCCTATGTAGTCAGTCCTAGCTGGCCTGGAACTCATATGTATCCACCTGCCTCTGCCTCCTGAGTGCTTGGATTAAAAGCAGATGCCATTACACCTGGGAATATTTTTTTAAGATTCACTTATTTATGTGTATGTTTCAGCTTGCTTAAGTAAGTATACACCACATGTGCAGAAGCCATTGAAGGCCAGAAGAGGGTGTCAGATCCACTGGAACTTGAGTTAAAGGCAGTTGTGAGCCACCATGTGGGTGCTGGATACCCAATCAGGGACTATTGGAAGAACAGTAACTACTCTTAATCTCTGAGCCATGTTTCCAGCCCCCAAATTGGGGTTTATTTATTTATTTGTTGGTTTTTTTGAGACAGCGTTTCTCTGTAGATTTGGAGCCAGTCCTGGAACTGGCTCTGTAGACCAGGCTGGCTTTGAACTCACAGAGATTCACCTGTCTCTGCCTCCCGAGTGCTGGGATTAAAGGTGTGTGCCACGACCACCTTGCCAAATTGGGGTTTATTAAGAAAGGGTTAGGGACTGGAGAGATGGCTCAGAGATTAAGAGCACTGACTTTTCTTCCAGAGGTCCTGAGTTCAATTCCCAGCAACCACATGGTAGCTCACAACCATCTATAATGGAATCTGATGCCCTCTTCTGGCCTGCAGGTGTATACATGTCGATAGGGCACCATATACATAAAATAAATAAATCTTAAAAAAAGGGGGGGGGGCTGGAGAGATGGCTCAGTGGTTAAGAGCACTGACTGTTCTTCCAGAGATCCTAAGTTCAATTCCCGGCAACCACATGGTGGCTCACAACCACCTTGAACAAGATCTGGTGCCCTCTGCTGGCATGTTGGCAGAAGACTGTATACATAATAAATAAAATCTTTAAAAAAAGAAAAAATGAAAAAAAGGGCTAGCCAGTCGGTGGCGTGAGCCTTTAATCCCAGCACTCGGGAGACAGAGACAGGTGAATCTCTGTGAGTTCAAAGCCAACACTCGAAAGGCAGAGGTAGGCAGATCTCTGTGAGTTCCAGACCAGCCTGGTCTACAAGAACTAGTTCCAGGATAGGCTCCAAAGCTACGCAGGGAAACTGTCTCAAAAACAAAAACAAAGACAAAACAAAACAATAACAACAAAAAGAAAGGGTTTAGTTGTCTTCTGGGTGGTACTGTTTTTTTAGTTATCATTTTTACCAGGTTGGGTTTTGTTTTGTTGTTTGTTGTAGTCCAGATGGGGAGGGGTGAATAGAGAAAGAAATAGAAGAATAAGGATAGAAACTGGTCTGGAAGCTTATCTGAGCAGATGTGAGGGCACAGGAGTGGTGGGGATAGAGTGCAGCTCTCTGCTTACCCAGGCCTGCTGAGGCTGTGGTGGAAGCTTGAATCATGCATTGCGCGGCTGTGATCTTTCTTCACTTTAATCCCTTGGTTCTGAGAGATCATCAGAGAATGACAATCAGAGAATGTGGTTGATCTCTGAGAGCAGAAGCTAGCCCAAGCTAAGCTTCTGGACCTGTAACTTTCCATCCAGTCTTTTCATAGTATGAACTGGGACTCAGTGGGGCTACAGGCACAGCTGATACAGACTGTGGGTTTAGTAGTGAAAGATCTCATCAATAAGTTTTCAGAAGGCCACTGTGTTATTTACTTATAGTCTCAGCCCTTGGAGATTGAGGCAGGAGGATTCTGAGCTCAATTTTAGCCTGGGTGAGAACATATCTTTAAAGAAGTGTAATTTTTAATACATTATATCAAGGAAAGACTCATGCAATCAACATACATTAGTGTTGGTTGATTTTACCTCACTGCAAAGTTACTCTCCTCCCTTTTCATACTTTAAACTCTTCAAAAAATAAAGTTGGGGGCTTTATTTAAAAAAATAAATAAATAAAGATGGCTGAGTGATTAGGAGCATTGACTACTCTTGCAGAGGACCCAGGTTTAGTTCCCGGCACCTACACAGTGGCATATAACCATCTGCAAGTTTAGTTCTATAGAGGATTCCATGCTTGCTTCTGGCCTTCTCAGTCATCAAGGTGTGCATACATACATTCAGGCAAAACACTCATATATACAAAATAAGCAAATAACTAAATACTTAAAAAAAAAAAAGGTGCTTTGAAGTCTTGTGAACTTTCAGAATGTATGCACATAAAAACCTTTAGGGGTCAGAGTATCATTTTGCTTTTCAGCTATGTACAAACCTTTTCCCACCTACCTTCTGTCATAACTACTTGAAAGTATCTGCTCCCCTGCCACCTCCCTAAGATTCTAGATTAAGTGGAGTATGGATGTGCTGCAGCAAATCTGAACTTCACAGCCTTGCACAGAAGAAAGCCACCGTCATCAATTAGGGTAGATGAAGAATTTCTCATTGTTCCTGGACAGATGTAATGAGGGTTCAGCTACCTTGATACTAAACATATGACAATGAATTGTATAGCATCCCATAGAAAGATTAGATAAAATTATGAGGCATGCTCAGGCTAAGAAGTTCATGGGTAGATTGCTGTTTGGGATGATAGAAAATTAGATTATTTCACAGTGCTCAGTACTGTGTGGGGAATTGGAGGTGGCCTTTAGTTAGTAATTGATATTTATACTAACTGTTGACATCCAGCACACGTTTATCCATCCAGTGCTTGCTGCCTCTACCTATTGTGGATGTCTGGGAGTGTAGTTCAGTGGCAGAGCTAATTGTGTGTTCGGTTCTGGGTTCAATTGTTAGTATTAAAGTAACAAACTTATTACTTCCCCAACTTCTCTGTGAGGTGATGCTAGCTTTGTGCCTGCCAGGCAAGCCTTGTATCACTAAGTTTTACCTGCAGCCTGTGCACCAAATATTTTCAAATGGTGTTCTAACCTAGATACTGTTTTAACTGTTTTCATGTCCAATTAAGAATCAAAGAGAAAAGACAGGCAGCTCTCCTAATATTGCAAGCACTTTTGCAGGTAGTGTTTACACATGATAGTTAATCCTCTATACAGAACTGAGGTAAGTGTACTTACATGCTTTCTACAAAAAAAGAAACTGAGACTCAGAGAAGCAAGTACCATAAAATTGAGGAGCTTCAGAGTTCTGGCTGGCCTTGAATTTGTGGTGGGCCACCTGTCTCCCTCCTTCGGGCTTTACAGGTGTGTCTGTAGTTGTGTTTACATTCACACAAAAGGTAGGTTTTTGTTGTTGTTGTTTATTTGCTTGCTTTATTAGTTTCTTTTTTTTTCCTCTTTCTTTCTTTCTTTTTTTTTTTTTTTTTTTTTTTTTTTTTTGGTTTTTTCGAGATGGTTTCCCTGTGTAGCTTTGGGCTTTATTAGTTTTATGACAGTGGTATTAATACTAACTCAGAACTGAAAGGAATTAACTAAACTTCCATGTTCCTGTTATTCAGCTTTAGTAATGATCAGTCTAGTCTTACAGAAAGGCAGCTGGGTTTGGTTGGTTGGTTTGGTTTGATTTTTTGAGACAGGGTTTCTCTATGTAGCCCTGGCTGTCCTGGAATGCACGAGATCCACCTGCCTCTGCTTCAGTGCTGATATTTGAGGCATGCGTCACTACCACCTGGCTCAGAAAGGCAATTATTACAAGTCATTGGATTTAGGACCATTCAGCTTGCAAATTAATCTTACATAAAGTTCTACACATAATTGTTCTTTTTCTTTTTTCTTACTTGTTTTTGGCAGTGCTGGGGATTGAACCTGTGATTTCACTAATGCTAGGAATGGGTTCTACTATTGAGCTGCAGTCCCAGCTCTGACTGTTACTTTTCAAAGAGCTATTTTATCTATAATATATCTAATTTCAGGTAATAAAATGATCATTGAATAAGAATGTTGTAATGACAGTTTACTAGTGTTAGATTGGATGGATGGATGGATTAGTTTTACACTACCTAGCATTGATCCCAGGACCTTGTATATGCTAGGTAAGTGCTCTACCATTGAGCTTTAGTACTAGCCCTCTTTTCAGTTTTTTTTTTTTTTTTCTCCAGTTTTTTGAGACAGGATTTCTATGCATATCCTAGACTGTCCTGGAACTTGCTCTAAACCAGGCTGGCCTTGAACTTACAGAGATCTTCTGCCTCCCAAGTGCTGGAATTAAAGGCATTCACTACCACCACCTGGCTGTAAACTTATTTATGTGCATAGGTATTTTGCCTGCATGTATGTCTATGTGAGGGTGTTGGATCACCTGGCACTGGAGTTACAGACAGTTAGGAGCTGCCATGTGGGTGCTGGAAATTGAACCTGGGTCCTCTGTAAGAGCATGCAGTGTTCTTAATGGCTAAGCCATCTCTCTAGCCCTCTTTTCAACTTTTATTTTGAGGTGCCTGTTCTGACCTGGGACACACTTTGTAGCTCTGACATTCTGTGATCTTGCTGTCGTGCCTCAGCCCCTGAGTAGCTGGTGTTACAAACTGGAACCACTAGGGCCTCCTAGTGGTATTTTAAAATGGCAATTTTCTTTCTTTCTTTCTTTTTTTTTTTTTATTGTTTTCAAGACAGGATTTCTCTGTCTGTCTCAAAACTAATTCTGCAGACCAAAGATCTGCCTGAAAATGGTAGTTTCTTAAGACTGAGTCAAGCTCACATTTTCTGTGCTGCTCAGTTATCTAGTATCATTTGGGAATGCCAAGTAACATATTGAGAAGGTGTTTTGTTTTATTTTATTTTTTTCAAAATTGGCTGCTTTTTTTGTCTCTTTATCATAGTTTGCAAAGAAACAAAATGCTGGTATGGCTTACTAAGCTTTTTGATTGTCTTTTTGAACTGAGTCTTCTGTTGTTAGATTCATGATGAAATTCATTTAGGGAGAGCAGCTTTTTTAATTTTAGTTTTTAGATTACATACTGATTTGAGTTTCTTTCTCTTCTGTAAAAGGAAATGTACACAATACAACTGGAACTCTGCCAGAACCCATTGAAGACATAGAAGGTATGAATGCCAGTGGGACTAAGGGATAATAATGAAGGACACAGGGTGGCACTGTCAGTCAACATCTGTCAGTTGGAGGCAGGGACCACCAGGAGTAGACAAACTCATGACCCTCATTGAGCTTTTGTTACCCTAAAACCTTCAGTCTTGTGGACCCTGAATTTAAAAAGCAGCTCTTAAAGAAAGCCATGTGGAGAATTACTAATTGTCCTTTTTGGTTGTCATTACCAGGGAACTGTGCCATTTCCAAAATGAACAAAGTGAAGGAAGAATTGTGTGACTTAAACCTTGTCTGTGAAGTAGAAGATGGTCACCAACAGATTCTCAACTATGATAAGGAAAAACCCAGTTCTGCACATGATCATTCCACCACTGCAGCGAGCAAAGACTCTATAAAACCCTCAGAAGAAAATTCTAAAATTTTATATCTCACATCATATTTATCTGGCCCAAAATCCTTAGAAAAATGTCATTTTGAAGACAATGATTTAATAAAGGAATATGCTGAAAAAATACACAGAGTTGAGCAAAGCAAGAACTTCACTTGTGGAAAAGAAAGTAAAGAACAGTATTGGAGGCCCAGGAGTGAAAGAAGAGGTCTCTTTCCTTCCAATGTCAGACAACAAGAGCAGGATGGTTCTAATGAAAAACAGGTTGTGGAGTCCAGTAACCACAGTATCTGTACCATTCAGGCTAGTTCCTGTACAGAGAACTATAATTCTGTGCCTAATTCTTTTTCTGAAGCAACAGAAACAATGTTTAAAAAAAATGATCTGAAAATTACTTTAAACATTCAAGGTAATTTGGTATATTCCAAGGACCATAGAAAAACCGTCACTGATGTGAACCATCCTGAGGTACACTTTGAGGAAAGTAGTTTTCCCTTGTTGACGAATACTGAAGAGCCAGAACAAACAAGAATAAAGTCCAGTGCATTAAATGAAAAGATTTACAGTACAGACTCTAAGTCTATAGTCAGCATCCAGAGAAATCTGGATGATTCTCTGCCAAATAAAGCATCATGCAGTGATTTTCTGTCTGGAAGAAAATCCCTTCAGAATTTGATACCTGCAGATCCAGTAAGTTCTGAATATAATGAAATGTCAAAACCCAAGAAGGATACTGCAAAATTAGCACCATGTCCAGAGTTTGATTGTGGACCTGCTTCAGAAAAGCATGTACAGACCTCACATGACAACATTTCACATTTAGATGAGCCGATCATTGCCTGTGAGATGAGTGAACTTTCTTATAACAGTGAACTGGTTTCGCACAAAATAGAACATGAATGTGTTTTAAATCAACAAGTGTCCCTTAATTCTAAAGAGCATGTGACATTATCAACTGACTCTCTACTAAATCTAAACAGAGAGATGCCTTCAGCAACATGCAGAGATGCTCAACAGAGCCATCATTCTCTAAAGAATGAAACAAATGTTACCACCAATACTCAAACCATTCCTGCTGAGACAAAATTGGAAGCCATGTCTCCACAAGGTGACAAAACCTGTGGTGCCTCTTCATACATACATACCTTAAATATCAAAATAAGAAGCCCAGAAGGGCAAAAAGAAATGGTTGATTCAGGTATCAAAGATTTACATTCCACGTTTCTCACAAGTGAGAAAAAAGCAGCTGGCTATTCCTTTGACACAGAATGCCAAAATGTTCAGTCTCAGGATATCTCCAGCTGTCGATGTGTAATGAGAAATGCATCAGAAAAGAATATGTGTTCTGTTTGTGCTGCCCTTGGACCCAAAAAAGATATCCTGAAAGTCAGCAACTGTAAAATAAACTGTGGGAATGCATGTCAGTCTAGCAGTCACTGCTTCCAAAGACCTGAAGACTTTGTGGAAAATAGCACCTTTTTGGAGAGTGAACCTGCTGGGAGGGAGACTCAAAGCAGCATTCTAGGAGGCAAGCTTAGAAATGAACTGACAGCAGGAGTGTCGGATAGTGGAGCTTTAACCACAACCACTCACGCTAGCAGTCATATGGAAACCAGTGAGGAAGGACTGGGTGGAAAGAAACGGGGTAAACACAAAGACACTGCAGTTTATACACTCAGCACCTCTGCTTGTGACACACAAGAACTGAACCAATCTACAAACATTCCAAGTCCTGACACACTAGTGGACCAGTCTCTGACTGTTATTTCATCTCATTTTAAAACCGTGTTCCAAGCAGCTGGAAGTCTTGACCAGAAAGCAGATGAAGTTTCTGACTGTCAGGGTAACCAAAATAGTCCAGACAAATGCAGAAGTGAAGGTAAGCCAGCTCTGGAAGGAATAAACAGTGACCACCGAGAGACTAGCCCTGAGGGAAGCCTCAAGGAAAAGGATTTGATAGTTGGTTCAGGCAGTAAAAACCCTGTGTTTTGTGGTAGTTTAGAGAAAAAAGATTCCAAAGGAGCCTTTGAAAATAGTCCTGGCTCTAAAGAGTTGACACACAGTGTGCTAGATGTGGTGTGTCCAGACTGCATAGGTGAGCCTACAGAGGGTGTGCTAGACATGGAAGCATCTAGTCCAGCTGGTCATTCTACAAGGCGAGATAAATTAGCATACCATGAGACCTTAAGGAGTACTTCATCTCTTCGAGAGCTGAATGTTGTATTTATAGGTACAACTGACCAGAACTCAGAAATCTCAAATGCTGCTGCTTCTACAGTAGACTCTCCTGAAATACTAAAATCACGTGAAATAAAAGTATGCAGATCTCTAAAAGACTGTGAAATGGAAGAGTGTCCAGACTCTGCCATTGATCATGAAGTAGAATCTGTTGCCGATCATGAGCCACATATAAGAGCACTAGATAGAGGAGGTGTGTCTTTAAATCATATTCATTGTAAGCATCAAGATAAAGGAGGATCTGTGACAGAAGGACTAGGAGCAAATTCTGAGTTTGATGAGAAGAAAATCTTTGAATTATCCTCAAAAGACTTGTCTTCTAGATGCCGAGGCTCTGTTGACAGGCATTCCCGTATGTCTTCTGAAGAACATTTACCAGCTGGTATTAGTGGCAAAGCACCTAAATTGGAACATCTCTTTAAACCCAAAGATGGTAAAATGCTTCATGAAAATGTCAAGGATTGCACAGTCCAGTCTGACATGAAGGAAGGAATACCAGCCGATATAAGCAATCCTAGTGAAGGAGATACCACATATGTCAGTGTGGACAAAAATGTTTGCAAAGCTTGTCATTCTCGTGAGAATTCCACAGATAAGTATTTGCCTTTGATAATGGAAACAGCAATTAAAATGGATAGAGAAAAGGGTATGCATGCACTGCTAGAACAACACATGTCATTGAACATGTTGTCAGATGAGATGCAGAATAAGAAGCAACCTGTGGCTGACCATGATGAGTCCATCATAATGGAAGAAGTCACCCTAAGAAAGCCAACCAAGAAAAAAATGGCTAGACAGCTTCAGAGGTTAGAAGACCCAAAAGAAGAAAGCTTATGTCATCTGTTAATGAAAGATATTGAATTATGCACAGGTCCTCGGCTTCTTGGTACCTCCTGGAAAGAACATGATCCCAGCTCTGCTGGGGGTGATCAAATACACGGTGCCTTTGTGACGCTGTCATATCAGCAAAGATTGCTTCCTGTAAAGAAGCAGCCTCATCGAACGTGTAAGAGAATTTCCTGCCTGGAGCCAGTTACTGTGCGGAGAAAAATAAGTAAAGTGAGAAATTCTAATTGTGGAAAGAGTTCCTCTAACCCCATCCCTACAAAAGCACACAGACTTCTCAGCCCATGTGCTGTGCCTGCTGCACCACTGGAACCTGAAGCAGTACCTAGCAAGAGCTTGTGTAGCCACATACCAAAGCTGAAGGCTACTCTGTGCCATCCCTTGAGGAGCCTGAGTTGTAGGAAGCCTACCAAAGAATCAGCCTTACTAAACAAGCTGTCTATCCTTGCCTCCAAACTGGTTCTGGCCACAAAGCCCCAAAAACTAAGATATCGGCGGTATTCCTCTTCCCTTGTTCCATTGGCTAAAAGCTATAAGCGCTTCAGATATAAAAAGCTCCTAGATGGATTTTCATATAATGCAATGCAGCTGGACCCATATTTGGCAGCTACTGGATGGGATAGGAGGTCTAACAGTAAGCCCTTGGCACTTTATTCTCTTGAATCTGTCAAAATGAGCTTCATAGATTTGAGCAACAAGATGCCATCACTGCTGTTTGGTACTGAAATCTTCCCATTTTCCTTTCATGTGAAATCACCCAGTTGCATGGTTGAGTCCTCCAGGACTTTTCCTGAGCACTGTGCTCCATCAAGGCTTGCCTTAGCAGAGACCTCCCAGTGCTCATCTCCACCTCCCAAGTGGACCTTTTCTTTTTTCATGTCCCATGGATGCCCTGGGATGGCCACATTCAGGGAAGACACTGGCTTCTGTAGTCAGACACGCACTCAGGCTCCTCCACAGACTACAGCTCCTCTCCGAGACTATGGAGGCACTGCCATAGTCCAGACCAGAGCAGACTGCTCTGTCCTTGGCCTTCACACACTTCTAGCACTTTGTTCACCAGGATGTTACCGAATCTGGACAAAAAAGCGGAGCTTCTCCAATCACATGCCTACCATGCAGAGGCTCTTCTTGACCCAGTTTACACAGGGCTTAAAAGGGTTAAGATCTCCAGCCTCTCTAGCAGACAAGGTCTTCTGCTCTCTGCCCTACTCAGTGGGCCGAGTGTTGTCCATTTGGAGCCAGCATGGGCCTTCCTGTACCTTCCAATTGCCAGCTCTTCATTCTACTCACAGCAAGCCACAGGGGAGCCTGAGCACCCTGAGCAGGTAAGAGCTTGTCTTCTCTTTTTTTCAGTGTATGGGGGAAAAAGAGCCGGTGCGGTGCTGGGAATGCAGGACTGTCTGCTGGAGGTTTCCTGTGTCTGCATTGTGTACCTTGTAAAGCCTCTGTTGAGAGAGTGCAGTGGTAATTCTTGGCTTTAGAGGCCCTTAATATGCCCACAGCATCTTCTCTTATACCTTGCACCATCCTTTCCATTTTACTCTTCATGTCATAATCACCCCCCCCCCACACACACACACACATACCACACACACACAGTGTTTCTACATAGCTCTGCTGTTGTAGAACTCACTATATAGACCAGTCTGGCCTACCCTGCCCCCAAGTGCTGGAGTTAAATTTATGTACCACAGTGCCCAGTGTATGCCACCATCTTTCATTGTTGTTTGTTTGTGACACTGTATCTCAGGCTAGCCTGGAACTCAAGAACATCTTGCTGGTGAGTAACGGGATTGCAAGTATGAGCATTATGCTTCGCCTGTCTCTACATTTCTTTTGTAGTATATGCTTCAGAGGTTATATGCTCCATTAGAATACCTTGGTTTGGGGACTTTGTAAAATTTGTAGTGAACTGGACAGAAGTTCTTATGGTTTCACTATTGGGGGTAGGGGAGAATTATTTGATCACTATTATTGTATCTTCTAAAGGAAAATAGAAGAGGACTGGACTGGGGTATAGGTTAGTGGTAGAATGTTTGCTTGGTTAGTATAAGACCCTAAGTTCAGTCCAGCTCAGAGACAGAAGGAGGGAGGAACTTAAGATTTAAAGTTTCCTGTGAGAATATAGCTTGTGTAGAGTGTGTGCTTATTTGGGATCAACCCCTCCCCCCACACACACACACGAAAACAGTCATCAAAGAATTGTGTTAGATAACTTTTTTTTTTTTTTCCTGTTTTTAAAAACAGCGTTTCTCTGTGGCTTTGGAGGCTGTCCTGGAACTAGCCCTTGTAGACCAGGTTGGTCTTGAACTCACCGAGATCTGCCTGCCTCTGCTTCCCGAGTGCTGGGATTAAAGGCGTGTGCCACCAATGCCCAGCCGATAACTCTTATTTTTAATTTGCTTTTAATATAACTGCTACAGATGAATTTTATTTATTTACTTACTTTCGGTTTTTCTAGACGGGGGTTTCTTTGTGTAGCCTTGGCTGTCCTGGAACTCATTTGTAGACCAGACTGGCCTCAAACTCACAGAGATCAGATTGCCTCTGCCTCCCGAGTGCTGGGATTGAAGGTGTGTGCCACCACTGCCCAGCTACTGTTGAAATTTTAGTAGTAATACTTCAAATCAAATCAAACCTACCCAAAACCTAATATTTCAAAGTAAGCTACTAAGGCAGGATTACAAGACCTGTTTGGGCTAAGTAGTCAGCTGTTGTCTGAAAAGCACATTAAAGGGGCTTGGAAAATTGCTCAGCAGTTACAAGGACTCCGGTTTAGTTTCTCTCAACTCTAGTCCTGTAACTCCAGTTCCCAAGGATACAGTGCCCTTTTCTGGCTTCTGTGGGAACATACATCCATATAGGAAAACAACCACAAAGGCAAGTGCTGAGACTAAAGGTGTGTGCCATCACACCAGCTATGTAAAATTATTGAATTCATAAATAAATAAATGGCGTGTCTGCTGGCAAATGGTTCAGTGAGTAAGCCACCAAACCTGACAACCTGAGTTGGATTCCTGAAACCCACACAGTGGAAGGAGAAAAATGACAAATTGTCCTTTGGCATTCATACACATACCATGATATATACATAGTGAGCTCACAAATATGTAGAAAATAAGAAAATATACTTCAAAAATTTTTAAATGATGCTGGTTAATGGTGGCTCACACCTTTAATCCCAGCACCTGGGAGGCAGAGGCAGGTGGATCTCTGTGAGTTCCAAGCCAGCCTGGTCTACAAATGAGTTCCAGGACAGCCAAGGCTACACAGAGGGACTTTGTCCTGAAAAACCAAAATAAATAAATAAAAAGAATCAGATTATTTCAAACGATAGCATACTGCTTGTATTGTTTAATATTTTGGTCTGCCTCTAGTATGTAAATTGTCATAATTGTTCTGTGCTACAAGTCTGTGAAACACAGCTTTAAACTGTGTTGTATCCCCTCCATCCCCACTCACTATAGTGGCCCCTGATTCCTGATCCTCCACCTCCCAAGTGCTAGGCTTATAGGCATGATCATTTCACTGTTAATGCCTTATACACTGCACTGGTATTCAGGGTGTCAGCCTTGGCTCCTTTTCTCTTTCAGAACCCTTTGTCATCTGTTTTTTCTACTTCTAAAATATTTTTACTTCCTACATTCTATATAAAGCTTTCTATTTTATATAATTTCTTCTTTTCCATTCTTGGAGGTAGGATCTTATACATATGTAGCCTAGAATTCAGGATTTTGTTTTATTTCAAATGGAAGGCAAATGGGTAGTGTTGCTCTGTGCTTTACTCATTGACTCTAAAAGTGACTTAAAATCATATGCCTAAGCTCACTTAATTTTTTATTCCTTTATTAAAATTTACTGATGAGCTGGGTGTGGTGGTAGAAGCCTTTAATCCCAGCGCTTGGGAGGCAGAGGCAGTCAGATCTTTGAGTTTGAGGACAGTCAGGGCTACACAGAGACACCTTGTCTCAAAAAGGAAAAAAAAAAAAATCAAAACAACAACAAAAAAGAGAAGGTGATAGGTGGACCCCTTTCCCTTCCTGAAAAAGCAAAACAACAAAACACTTCACTTACTGCCAGCAAAATAATTGAGTAGCTTTGAAAACAATACCTAAATCAACTTAGTTTCCATAAGGTGTTTCCCCCACCACTCTGTGTGTGTGTGTGTGTGTGTGTGTGTGTGTGTGTGTGTGTAGGGGGGGGAGGGAGAGAGGAGAGAACAGTTTTGGAGTTGGTCTCTCTTTCCATCTTTGTGTGTGTTTCAGGAATCAAGCTCAGGCTGTCACCTTTCATTGTCAGGCAGAAAGTGCTTTTACTGCTCAGCCATCCTGCCTGTCCCATTTTTCTATTTTGTTGAGACAGGGTCTCATGTTTAGAACCGGTTCAGACTCAGTATCTTAGCATGACCTTGAACTCATTATCATCTGTATACTCCCTAGTGCTGGGGTTGCTTGTATAGATACTTTGTTGTTGTATTTGGTTCTTTTATATGTAAAAGATACTTTTATATCTAATTTTTACAAACATTTGTTTGTTGTATGTGTGCATTATGTTGAGTGCACATGTGTCATGATGTGCATGTAGAGGTCAGCAGTGTTTTGGGGAGTTCATTCTTTTCTTCCACAACTCAGGTGATCAGGTGATCCTCTGCATTTGGAGCCAGCTTACTATTCCTTATGTTTAAATTTTAAAGGAATCTTAACATGTGTAAATACCAACTTAAAAGGTATAAGTCCCCAAATCATTCTTGTTCCCCTCATTTCTTTTGCTGTCCTCTACTTTCTTGACAGTTTTCCCAGTTAAATTAGGAAGCACACAGGGGCTGGAGAAATGGCTCAGTGATCAAGAGCGCTTGGCTGTTCTTCCAGAGGACCCAGGTTCAATTCCCAGCACCCACAAGGCATCTCACAACTGCCTGTAATTCCAGTTTCTGGGGATCTGACACCAATGCACAGAAAATAAACTTAAATAAATTAAAAAAAAAAACAAAACAGGAAGCACTCTTCCTGTTAGCCTACTTCCTCCCAGGGATGAGCACATGAGCATAGTTTCACGGTTGGGAGGTTCTTGTTTCTTGGCCTCCATCATGTGCCAGTCAGTACCTCCAGTAACACCTTTGCTGTTGCCCCACCCTCATAACCTGCTGTTTTGTGCTTGTCTTTACTTCAGCCACACCACCATACCAAATGTGCCTCTTCCAGGCATGGAAGCTATCCATAACACCAACAGCAGTCACATGAGGTGAGCCTTGGCACATGGCCTTGAAATGTGGATGGGTGTGTGAGCAAGGGCAGGGGAGTATATATATATAGTGTTCTTAGCATGGGTCAGGCATGGCACAACTCTAACTTCTTGTCTCATTAATCTTACTATTTACAGGTCTCAGATAAACATCTCTGAGATTTGGTTGTGCTTTATATGTGGAGTTGTATAATTAGCACCATTTGCTTAACAAAAAAGTCATTAGCCAGCTTATTAGTATCTCCCCGGGCTGTTTCGGGTCCTGCTGCTTCATCAGCCTAAGTCCTAGTCCCTAAATGGTATTGGTCTCATTTGAGCAGTATTCATTTGCCCATTAACTAAATTTCTTCTCACCAGTCTCCACTCATTTACACATTTCTTTATAAAACTGCTCTAACTACTGGAAAGAATTAACCACATTCTTGTAACTTTTCACATGCGTAGACCCAGGTTGTGTCTAAAAGAAACTAGAAAACAGATTGATGTAGATGTCATTCCTGGAATGAAGAAACATCATTGATTCTAATCTATATGCTCAGAAATAATATAGGCTGGGATGATAGACAGCTCAGTCGGTAAATTGACTGCCTTGCAAGCATGAGGACCTGAGTTCCATCCCCCAGAACCCACATCAAAAGCCTGTAGGGTAGCACACATTTGTAATTCTAGTATGCAAGCAGGCAGAGACAAACAGGTCCTGAGGCTCACTGGCCAGCCACTGTAGGCTACTTGGTGAGCTTTAGGCCAGTGAGAGACTCCATCTCAAACACAAAATGGGATGGGACAGCTGAGGAAGGACACTGTCTTAAGGTTGTCTTCTGGCCTCCATACACACACAAGAATGCACATGTGTACAGAAAAACTAAATAAAAATGTATGCTTACTGGAAGTAGAAAGCAAACCTCCTACAGGTTTATCTTCATTCTCTCTCCATGATGCTAGGCTAGAGCCTGTGTTCCCTGCCTTGGTGCCAAAGTCTTGCTTGGTAACAGAACCTGCTGTCAGCAAGCTCCTGCTTTCAGCCTCCGAGTTCCAGGTCCCTGGGTTTGATGAGCTGGGTGATGTGTCAGTGGCATGCCCCCGACCACAGAGCAACTCTGCAGAACAGAAAGAGGTAAGTGCAAAGTACCAAGGTGTCAGGTGGAGGTGGCATTGGGGTTTCCATTGTTGACTCATCACATGGTAGGTGCAGACTTAACTCCAGCTTGACTCAGTAGCTGGGACTACTAAGGTAGCAATTTTCCTGCTTGGCCAGGGCCTTGGCCAGGAAAGGATATGGTGGGGGTTTTATGGGGTTGTTCCCTTCATTTCGGTCTGTTTTCAGAGGTAGGGTCTTACTGTTTCGCCTTCCTCGCTTCCAACTCCTGGATTCAATTGTCCTCCTGTTCCATCAGGCGGGGCTTAGGTATCTTTTTATTATTATTATTATTCAGTTTCAGGTATTTTCAGGTATTTTTTTTTATTTTTTACATATTGTGGCTTAGGTATCTTAAGTCATATTGTTTTCCAGATCCATTTTTCTCAGCAGCCCAATTAGAGGCCCTAAGAGTCCCTTTGCATTGAAAGATGAATAAATGATCGTGTCCTTCTGTTTATAGCATCACCTGTCTCCACTGATCAAAGACTTGGAGTTGATTATGGAACTGTTCGGCTCTGTTTTAATATATGAAGGAGCAGTAACTGAAAACACAGCTAGAGTAGCTGTCATTAGCTACTTTCCAGGTTTTTCTATAAACCAAGGGAACAATGTTTTGAGTATAAGGGCTTTATTTAAAAGGAATTACATTTTGCCTCTCTTTATTTTTAACCCTTAAAAACAGGCTGAGCCAGAGAAGAGACCAAAGAAAGTCTCACAGATCCGAATCCGGAAAACCATTCCTAAACCAGATCCCAACCTTACCCCAATGGGCCTGCCTCGGCCCAAAAGGTGAGCTTCTCTAATGCAAAGTGGGTTCACTTTCTTGGAAAATTGCTAGGCAAAGCATAATTGTCCTTGAAGTGGTCATATAATACGAATTCATTGATTGTAAGGTTAAATGTTTATATGCAAGATATTTTACTACATTAACCATTTTTATTGTTCTTCCTGTGCTAGGTATTATGTGTACATAAATCATAGTTTAAACTCAAGTAGGAATCTAGCCCTTGAGAGGCCAAGGCAGGAAGAGTTGCTCAAGTTAAGACCTTTGGATACTTAGTGAGTACAAAGCCAGCCTGTACTACAGTGTGAGGTCCCCACTCAAGAAAAAGAAAGGTGCCGGAGTTCCATGATGACACCCTGTCTCAAAATAGAACAACAAAAACAAACCCACACATAAACCAGAAAAAACAATTTACTTAAAAAGAAAAAAATTTTAGGTTTATTGATTTTATTTGTATGTGTATTTCCCTGCATGTATGTATATGAACCACATGTGTGCCTGGAGCACTCTAAGGCCAAAAGATGGTATTGATCTCCTGGGACTGGAAGTAGATATAGTTTATGAGCTAGAAATAGTTCCCATATGGCTGCTGGGAACCACCCCAGGCCCTGTGTAAGAGTAACAAGTGTTTTTAACTAGAGCCATAGCTCCAGTTCCCCAATATACTTTTTTGTTTTGTTTTGTCTTTTGAAACAGGGTTTCTCTGTGTAGCCTTGGCTGTCCCGGAACTCACTTTGTAGACCAGGCTGGTTCAAACTCAGAGAGCCCTCTGCCTTTGCCTCCTGAGTGCTGGGATTAAAGATGTGTGCCCTCCTGTGATCCCAACAATTGGGAGGTGGAAAAGGAGGAAAAAGAGTTCAAGGTCATCCTCAAAGTTCTCCAACCACTGTTCTCGTGTACTGAGTTCCAGTATATGTTTCATTGGTTCCCTTAAGTAACTTAAATTAAGTAACCTCCTAACTTCTAAGAGACTTATCTTTGGGCCATGGATCTGCCAACTGGTCTCCTTTTATAGTCTTGAACCCACAGTCTTCCTGTCTTAGCCTCCAAGTGCTAAGATTACAAATATATGTCATATTTTACAATTCTTTCTCCCTACATGCTCTTACTGTACTGCAGATGTATCAGAAGGTATTGTGAATGGAAGTCTGTGACTACCTTTGAGTTGTACTGAGCTATTACATCCTTTATTAACTACCCTCTTGTGCGCACATAATTTTAAGTGTGTGTTCTGCTTATGAGGGAAAGCCTGGTATTTGTCTTGGACATTTTAGAATTTTTGCATAATGAATCCCAGTTAAATATAATTTTTTTTCTGTAGCCAGATTTTTCTTTGGGTTGCCAACTCACAAAAAATAACATCGAGAGTTAATATTAATTATAAAACCTTGGCCTATATTTTAGGCTTGTTCTTAACTAGTTCTTGTAACTTAAATTAACTCATATTTTTTAATGTATGTTCTTTTACATGGCTCGGTTATCTTTACTATGTACTGCCCATCTTGCTTCCTCTGCATCTGGCTGGTGACTCCATATCTCTTCCTCTCCCAAGTCTTCTCTGTCCCCAGAAGTCCCACCTAACCTCTTCCTGCCTAGCTAATAACCATTTAGGTCTTTATCAAACCAATCACAGTGACAAATCTTCACACTGTGTAAAGGTATATTCTGCAACGTATTTCCTATAAATGTATAATTTCATTTTTCTTTACATACAAATAAAATTCCATTTCATGTATGTATATATACAGCATGTTTTCTTTATTACATTAATGGATATATAGCATGGTTGTATTTCTTATTTATTTTCTTTTTTCTTTTTGTTTTTCGAGACAGGGTTTCTCTGTATAGCTTTGGAGCCTATCCTGGCACTCACTCTGGAGACCAGGCTGGCCTCAAACTCACCGAGATATGCCTGCCTCTGCTTCCCGAGTGCTGGGATTAAAGGCGTGTGCCACCAACGCCTGGCATCTTTTTTTCTTAAGATTTATTTTTTATGTGCATTGGTGTTTTGCCTATGTGTATAAATGTGTGTGGGTGCCAGATCCCCTAGAACTGGAGTTACAGTTTTGAGCTTCCATATGGGAACTGGAAATTAAACCTGGTTCCTCTGGAAGAGCAGCCAGTGCTTTTTTTTTTTTGTTTGTTTGTTTTTTTTTTTGTTTTTTGTTTTTTGTTTTTTCGAGACAGGGTTTCTCTGTGGCTTTGGAGGCTGTCCTGGAACTAGCTCTTGTAGAACAGGCTGGTCTCGAACTCACAGAGATCCGCCTGCCTCTGCCTCCCAAGTGCTGGGATTAAAGGCGTGCGCCACCACTGCCTGGCGCAGCCAGTGCTCTTAACTGCTGAGCCATCTTTCCAGCCTTGACATATGGAATTTCTATTTCAGTGTTTTGGAAAAGCTCCACACTGATTTCCATGTTGGCTACAGAAGTTGGCACTTTGACCAGCAGTGCATAAAGATTTTTAAAGATTTATTATTTTTAAATGTGTTTGTATGTGTGTGTGTGTGCACATGAGTGCAAGTGCCTACAAAAACCAGAGGGTTCTGATCCCACTGGAGCTATAGTTACAGGCATGGGTACTAGGAACTGAAGTTTAGTCTGCTATAATCTCTCTAGCCCCTATTATGTTTATCTTCATTCCTCACTTTCTGCCCTATCCACCTACCTCCCCATGTCTCTGTCTCCTGTGGGTGATTTTTTTTTTTTTCCGTTTGTTTTTTCTGTAGTGGGCAATGAAACCAGGCTCTGTAGCCTGCATTCATGGTAGCATATTTTGTATTAGCATAGAGTATTTTCTCATGTGGATGCCCCAGGAGATGTGATCTTAGTGTTCTCTCCTTGCTTGTCTGCACTCACACTTTTACAACAATAATGCTACTCTCTTGCCCTCTATCTACCATTATCACACTTCTTATCTGTGTCTTTGAGAAAGCCTTTCTTCTCATACCTTTCCTTGGAAGATGGTGGAATCCAGGTACATCTGATTCTGAGTTCTTTTATAGTTTGAATTTTGCGGTTTCAGCTGGCTGACTCTGTGTCCCCTAGCCAAGTCGAACAAGGACACTGGGCAACCACTAATGCCACTCAGGAGAGGTATAGGCAGTCAGCAAGGCACCCAAGTCTATTAGACATGTCCTGGACATTCAAGACAGTTATTGGTCTCCATATGGTGGTGCTCCATTTTCTACAAATCTCTCCTTGGCAGTCTAGAATGAAAAGATATTTGGCTGCTGTGAGCCAGGTAGAATCCCAGTAGCTCTTGAATGTTAGGCAGGAGTTTCTTTGTTGGGGGCAAGAATGGCTTTGAGTTCTTTGCTTTCCTCATCTCTTCATGTCCAGTAGACTGATCTGTGGAGTGGCTCTCATTGCTTTCTGGAGCTTGGGATTGGTGAGTAACTGCATGAACAGCAGGTGGACTGGGATTCCTTATATCTTTCTGAGGAATTGCTCTTTTTATTTGTAGTATTCTTTATCTCTTCTTATTCATTTTGGTTAGAGGTCCACTTTGTCAGATATTAAAATAATTATACCAACTTGGTTTTGTTTTGTTTTGTTTTGTTTTTTAAGTTTTTCAAGACAGGGTTTCTCTGTGTAGCCTTGGCTGTCTTCAAGCTCACTCTATAGACCAGGCTGGCCTTGAACACCAATAGATGCATGCCTCCACCTCCCATGCTCTGGGATTAAAGGAATGTGCCACTATAGCCAGGCATATTTCTGCCCTTCAAAAAAAAACAAAAAAACACTTAATTTTGTTTTATTTGTATGGATGTTTTGTCTTCATCTGTGTTTCTGGACTGTGTGTATACCTGTTGCTCATGGATACCAGAAGAGGATGTAAGATCTCTTGGGAGTTACAGATGATTTCAAGATATCATGTTGATGCTGGGAATCAAACTTGGGTCTTCTCCACAAGCAACCAGTGCTCTGAACCACTAAGCAATCTCTCCAGCGCCTTGGCTTTATATTTTTGACACCTTGACTACAATTTCTTAATATGATAATACATTGCAGAGAGGCTCTTCTCTGGTTGTGTTTATTTGGGGTTCTAAGTACCTCTTGCATTTGAATGTCTCTCTAAACTTGGAAAAATCATGCTGTTTTCTTTAATGAGCCTCTGTATACCTGTGTTAACAGCAAACTCACGAATTCGCTCTCAAAATATTTCTGCCCCCTCTTTCACAATGTTCCCTGGTAAGTGCAGGAGTTGTGTTGTAGATGGGTTCTGGCACTCCACTATCAAGTTTTATGCATTTTAACCAGATACGATTTTCTGTAATGGTCTGTCTGTTGCAAACAGAAGTTTCTTTGATGAGGCGTAAGAGCTATATTTAACTGTGGGTATAAGGGTAAGTATTTAGAATGCTGTTAAGAATCATACTGGTTTAATAAAGTGGCAGAAGATTCTCCTCTTAAGACCTGTGCCTTACTAGACTGGGAAGTTAGGAAGGTTTCAAATACCAAGCATGATTTTTCTCTTCTTGAGCCGGTTTTAAGCTGTTGGTTACCACCAAGATGTGGGTGCCACTATTGCACCCTTAGGTCTATCTTGCCAGGCTGGAAGTTGTTGTAGACAATAGGCAGTTGACTAGGACTGTTGGTTACATTTCTCCCTTGGAAGCTTGCATAGCAGCACCTTGTGGTACTAGGAAAGCTAGTCCTTGGGGCCCTTTTAGGTCAGATCCAGCTTAGGTCCTCTGAGTTCTATGTCTAAAGTGCATGGTATCTTCAGTAATAGACACCTAAGTTCAAACACTGGGAAGCAGACAAGGGCAGGGCAATACCTATATTGTTTTGGGAGTTTCTTGAACTCTCCGGCTCAACTGCTCGTAAGGTTTCTTATCACCCATTTCTGGTCTTTTTTTTTTTCCCCTTAAGGCAGGATCTCACTTAGTGCCTTAAACTCATTCTGTAGCCTAGCTGAAAGGTACAGAGTTTGTTTGTTTGTGTTTGTTTTTGTTTTGTTTTGGTTGGTTGGTTTTTCAAGACAGGGTTTCTCTGTGTAGCTT